TAATCAATAAGCCCGCAGTTACATTCCAACCAGTTAATAACTGATAAGCCTGTGGTTACATTCCGATAGATACTGTCCGGAGGCAGGGGTGATTAGTGTCTGTTTTCTCTTAGGATCTTCAAGATTCCCCTGCCCAGAGAGGGTCTTATCCTTCCATTGTCATTTCCACAGGTTCTAAGCACAGAGTTCAGAGTCCATTGGAGAGGCGGCCTAGCATGACCAGCAGGGACAGGCCTGAGATGGAGTCCAGGCCCTATGAATTCCTTCTTCAGTAGCTATGTCACTCTGCCTTTCATCAGCTCAGAGAAGAAAGCCCAATATTTCTTTCATTGATTTAACAAATGTTTATTGAGCACCTGTTACGTGCCAGGGACTGTGTTAGGAGCACAAGATAAACCAGTATAGCAGGCAAATATTCATACATTGATCTTACATTTTAGGGAAAAAAATGAGAAATTAATATAAGAAATTCATATAATATGTTGTTGGTGATAAATGCTATGGATGAAATAAAGCGTAGAGCAGAAGAAAATTCCCAGGCAGTCCAGTGATTAGAACTCAGCATTTTTCACTGAAAGGGGTCAGGGTTCAGTCCCTTGTCCCAGAACTAAGAGACCCAAAACCTTGAAGTCCGGCCAAATAAATAAATAACTGAGTAAAGCAGTGTGAGGGGAATGGCTGCTACTCCTGTTAAGTTGCCCAGTCATGTCCGACTCTGTGGGACCTTATAGACTGTAGTCCGCCAGGCTCCTCTGTCCATGGGATTTTCCAGGTAAGAATACTGGTGTGGGTTGTCATTTCCTTCTCCAGGGGATCTTCCCGACCCAGGGATCAAACTCACATCTCTTAGGTCTCCTGCATTGGCAGGCAGGCTCTTTACCACTAGCCCCACCTAGGAAGCCATACTAACTAGAGGGGAATGGGGGAGATTGCAATTTTAAATCGGATTATCAAGTTGGGCTTTGTTCAACTGACATTTGGGCCAAAGCTTAGAGGAGGTGAGAGAGTAAGCTATGTGGAGGGGAAGGGTGTTCTAAACAGAGGGAACAGCTCCTGAGAGGTGGAATGTGCCTAAGTATGTTTAGGGGAAAATGGGTGGGCCAGTATAATGGGAGGTGAGGACAGAGAGGAAGAAGAGGGAAAGTTATTTAATCTCTTTTTAAAAAATTTTTTTGGCTGCACCGGGTCTTAGTTGGGGCACTGCTGGGAGCTGGCACACGAGATCCCACCCATGACAAGGTCATGAGGAGAAAGCCTGACAGGCAAGGCAGATCAGGTTTTCAGAAATTTCGAAAAGCTGCCCCCGGCGCTCACCTTAAAGACGGTATCTGTCTTTCTGATGCCTGCCTCAATAGACTACTCTCTAATTTCTGTGACACAGGCAGAAGACCTTCCCCGATCTCTTCCCAAATAAGAATCAATTTAGAACTTTAATCAATAAGTTTCCCAGGTGGTGGTATTTTATGAGATTATCCAGGGTGAAAGGAGTGTTTTAATTTAAACTCCTTTGCTGGTATTTTAGTTTGTTTGGTAAATGCATTTATGCCCTGGGTACTAATATGCATGATTGCTTATAATACCCTAATCATAAAATAACATAAAGAACCTGATCATATAAAGGCCCTAACAGACATAGAGCCCTTCGGGGGGTGAGGAAGCCCTATTAGAGAACACAAGAAAAATTATTCTAAAAGTAGCTACTGGGTTAACATTTGCTTGCTGTGTTTTGCTTGCTGTGTTTTTGCTTTTAATGTGCTAAGGTTGTGTTATAGAAACCATTGTTAATATAGTTAAAGATCTAGAGAAAGAAGAGCTTAGCCCTAGTGTGGTAACAATGAGATGGTTGTTAATTGTCAGCCAGGAGTGCTAGGCAGAGGCTGCCTCACCAAAGTCACAGAGTGAGTCTGGAGTAAACTTCTTAGATAAACACAACTGACAACTTCTGCAGAAGGATTAATTTTTGTGTTAACAAGGTTATACTTCTACTCTGTACTGTTGCCCTATGAGACTGCTACCTTTCAGTTAAGGTCACCATAGAAACAGAAAATAGGTTTACATTCACCTGACTTGCACAAAATGTTAATGGGCCCCAAGGCCAGAAGATAATGTACAAGACCCTCAGAAACAAAGAAGTATGCAGAAAACACCCTGGTTTCGTGAAGAACAAGCTGATATAACGTTAAACTATCTTCCCCTTAGAAATGTACTAATTTAGGGTATAAAAGCCACGGTAAAAAATAAAGCATTGCCAGACTCTGCCAGACTCTGCACCCCCCGTCTAGTCTCTCTCTCTCACTCTCTCTCTCTTACTCTCTCTCTCAGCGATGCCGTTCATCCTGAGGGTACCATCCTGCCGAGGCTCGGTGGAATCTTCCTTGCTGGCATGTGAGATCTCTTTCCCTGACCAGGGATTGAACTTGGGCCCCATGCATCTGGAGCAAGTAGTCTTAACCACTGACCATCAGGGAAATCTCCCGTTTAATCTTTCCGGGCCTCTATTCCGTCCTGTGAAAAATGAGGATATTGATAGCACCTACCTCAGAGGTACTGTTATGAAGACTAAAGGAACTCATGTCAATCTCTTAAACAGGGGCCTGACTGGCGGTGGCACTCGTGGAGGTGCGTGTCCAACTTCCACCGCCGGGAGGCAGCAGCGAGTCCCGGCCGGGCTCTGGGCCAGCGTGCAGGGTCAAACGAGGTGAGGCCCTTCCCGGAAGTCTGCAGACTCTGACAGCAGCCGTCTCCGGCATTCCCGGCCACGCCGCGGCCACGTGAACGCAGAGTTCTGGCACAATGCACGCACTTCTCTGCCTCTATGGGCACGCCGGCCTCCCACCGGGAGCATCCTCACCTCTCCAGCCCTGCCTGCCTCCAGCCTCCTCCGGCTTCACTCCAGGATAGCACCAGGATGCGGGAAAAGAGAGTGGGAATGGTGTGGGGATGAGGGGCGAAGAGGAGATCCAGAGACTCAGGGAGCCCCTTCCTCATGATCTGTGCAGACTTTCCAGCCAATTTCTCAGGCAGGCCAGCTGGTGGTAAAGGGTCCAGCTTTCACTGCGGAGGGCCCAGGTTTAATCCCTGGTCCCGGAACCAAGATTCCTCAAGCCACAGGTTGCAGTCGAAAGAGGGGGGAAAAAAACGATAGCTTCAAAGACATCTCCTGCTTTACTTGCTTCTTTAGTTTAAATTTTTAAAATATTTAGAATCCAGGCAGTTTAAGTACACACAAACACACTGAAAAGTCTCTCTCCCATCATCTCCTGCTTGGAAAAAAAATTCTTTTCACTAGTCTCTCTGCATTTGATCTCACTTATCCTAATCACTGTAGCCAAAGGGTTCTAAGGCGCAGATCTATTCCGTTAAAATCCCTCAATGACTTCTTACTACCTCAGGACAAACACAGGTCTGGTCACCTCACTCAGCCCCTCTCCTCCCAGACTCCACATGGCTCCAGGCTCTTCTCTGTTTTGATATGCCCTTCCCATTCCAGCTCCCAGGCGTGGCTGAGTCCTACTCACACTGCAAGTGTATCAGTTGTCTATCTTTTGTCCATCAGTTGTCTGTCTTCCTCTAAGGGGTTCAGAAGGGTATATTAATTCAAGACCAAATCTCTCCTAGCACAGAAATGTCACCTAATCAGTGTTTGTTGCTGATATTAATTAGTAATAATATTAATAACAATAGCTAATACAGTGTTAATTCCATGCCCAGCACTATTCTAGGCACTTTACATGTATAAATTCATGTAACCACACAACCCCAAGGTTGATACAACCTCATTTTACCAAGACAGGAATTGAAGTATTGAGAAGTTTAAGTAACTTGCCCCAGATACTGAGTGACTGAGCTGGGTTTTGAACCAGCTACTCTGGTTTTCCACAAGTGAGTCAAGACCTTGAGCAGAAGGACCGGACCTCAGAGGGGGAATCCAGATAGCGTTTGGTCTGTGCACGTTGCATCTCAGGGTATTCTCGCCCTGTCCCATTTCTTTCCCGAGGGACCGCTTCCCAGAGAGACCAGGTAACTCTGGGGTTATTTGGGGGGTCTAGGAGCAGGGACATAACCGCTATGGGCTGGGCGCGTGGGTGCGAGTCCTCTGCGCCAAACTACAACTCCCAGGAGGCACCGGGCGCCCATAGCCCACGCGACGTCACGGCGGCAGAGGGCGCAGGCGGCGAGGCTCGCCCGGCCCCGTCGACTGTTGGGCTGTTCCGCTCGGACCCCGGCCCTGGCTCTGGCCCAGCGGTAAGAGGAGCGACCCGCTAAGATCATGCCGCTAAGGCTTCGCATCACGCGACCGCAGCCTCCGCCTTTGCGCTGGATCGTTGGAGCGCGCGTGGAGGGCGGGGGTGGGGTGGGGGCCAGCATCTACCATATGGGGGAGATCCGGGCCGAACCAAGTGACCCTGCGGAGGGAGGGACCCGGACGGGGACTCCCGAGCCGCTGCTTCCGCGCAGCCGACCTTCGGTGCACAATTCTTTGTGCTACACCCCGGCTGGCCGGCTGGGGTCTGAAGGCGCCGGATTAGGGGTCAGCCCCGCCCCCTGAACGAGGGTGCAGCGGATCCGAGAGATCAGGGGCAAGGCTTTCGGGCTGGACTGGTCTAAGGATCCCCTCCCCTCCAAGCTACCAGATAGAGCCTTAGATTGGAGAATAGTAACTCCAGAAAGCAAGGTGATCCAGGCTCTCCCTGTGTGTGTGTTTGGGGAGGTGGTTGAATGGGTCGGGCAGAGATGGTCAAATCTGATTATACCTGTGCTCACGTATAGAGATGGCACCTCTGGATTCAGATCCGTACAACTCTCCCTTTCCCCACCTTGGTAGATGGGAGCTGCTCCCCGGAGGCTGAGCTGGTCAGCATCCTCAACCGGCGCTCACCCTTGAAGTCAGAGAAGAGCCCCTACCCACCCACACTCTTCTTACCCAGTTTTGGGGTCGCCTCCGTCTATCGGGTCCTCAGCCCTGGTGGCCACCCAGTCCAGTTCAAAGGAACAGAACGATGATACTGGCTTCGGTGCTGGGGAGCGGACCCCGGGGCGGGTCACCCCTCCGGCCTCTCTTGGGGCCCGCACTCTCGCTCAGGGCCCGCTCCACATCAGCCACCGATACCCACCACGTGGAGATGGCACGGGAGCGCTCTAAGACCGTCACCTCCTTTTACAACCAGTCAGCCATCGACGTGGCAGCAGAGAAGGTGTGCAGCTAGGGCGGTGAGGCTTGGGTCTGGAGCTGGAGTGGGGGTCCAGGGAAGGGGTGAAGCTAATATGGCCGGGGCAGGGTGTTGGAGATGCTATGCTCAAAGGCCCTCTGCCCCTCCAGCCCTCAGTCCGTCTCACTCCAACCATGATGCTCTATTCAGGCCGCTCTCAGGATGGCAGTCACCTTCTGGTAAGATTCCTGCCTCTTGTTTTGCTCTTGGGCCCTGGAGCTCTGACCCAGCCCCCCAGTCCCTGGCCTTCACTTCCCTCTTCTCTTTCTTTAAGAAAAGTGCCCGCTACTTGCAGCAGGAGTTGCCAGTGAGGATCGCTCACCGCATCAAGGACTTCCGCAGCCTTCCTTTCATCATTGGCTGCAACCCCACCATACTGCACGTGGTAAGGCGGCCTCAAGGGGGCGTAGAGAGGCCCTTAAATCAGTGTGCCCACCACCCATGGGGCAGATGGGGAGAGGGAACCAGAGTGGTAGAGGCCTACCTGCATAAAGTTTTCTGAGTCCTAGATGACTTGGCCCCAAGCTTTAATGGAGACTTGAAAGACCGTGATGGGGTCGGAACCCAGTGAACTGGGATGGATGGCAGTCCCCATAGGTGGTCACGGCTGACTGTTCTCTATCTGTGCCCAGAGCATCCTTGTGAATTCCCACACCTCTTCCTTGCAGCACGAGCTGTACATCTGTGCCTTCCAGAAGCTGACAGACTTCCCTCCGGTGAGGGCTGGGCCAGGGCAGGGTGAGGGACTGAGAGGTCAGGGCTGGACCCTCCACGCTTACGACTCTGTGGCTTGCAGATCAAGGACCAGGCGGATGAGGCCCGATACTGCCAGCTGGTGCGACAGCTGTTGGATGACCACAAGGATGTGGTGACCCTCTTGGCGGAAGGCCTGCGTGAGAGCCGGAAGCACATAGAGGTCAGGGTAGCGCAATGGGGGCCCAGACCTGGGGGAGGGGGGGGCCTGGGAAAAGCACAGGGTTTCTGAGGTCTTGCTCTTTATAGGATGAGAAGCTTGTCCGCTACTTCTTAGACAAGACATTGACTTCAAGGCTTGGGATCCGTATGTTGGCCACCCACCATCTGGCACTACATGAAGATAAGGTGGGGCGCCGGGACCTAAGACTGTCAAGTGGACCAGAGGGAACTGAGCCAGGAGCCCCCTTGGACTTGGGGACCTGGTCCGTGGGCCTGGGGAGAGCCCTGGGGCTGCTTCAGTAGTCTAGAGTTTAAAAGCTTTTGTTGTCCAAGGTGTGGGTAGAGGTGATCTCTGGTCCTGACCTTCTTTCTCCTACCAGCCTGACTTTGTTGGCATCATCTGCACTCGCCTGTCACCGAAGAAGATTATTGAAAAGTGGGTGGATTTTGCCAGGTGAGGCTAGAATGGGTAAGGGACATCATCGGGCAGGGAAGGTCTGGGTCCGAGCACTTGCCCAGGATGTGGTCCAGGGCAGGATTTTTCAACTGTGGTATTGTTCATGTTTTGGGCCAGATCATTCTTTTCTGTAAGGGGCTGGCCTGTGCTTATTAGGAAGGATCCCTGGCTTCTACTCATTTGATGCCAGTAATACTCCCCAGTTGTAGCAAACAAAAATGTTGCTAGAGATTGCAAAATGTCCTTGGGAGGGTGGGGAAAGAATCGGCTCCAGTTGAGACCCACTGGTTGGAGTCTGAGTCCCTTGCTCCTATCCACAGACGCCTGTGTGAGCACAAGTATGGCAATGCACCCCGAGTCCGCATCAACGGACATGTGGCAGCCCGTTTCCCCTTCATCCCGATGCCACTGGACTACATCCTACCTGAGCTGCTCAAGAACGCCATGAGGTGGGCCGCTGGATGTATTGGAAGGGGGCAGACGGGAATTGAGGTGAGGCGGGGGCACCACCACCTACTGGTATTTGGCCCCTTGCACAGAGCCACAATGGAGAGTCACCTCGACACTCCCTACAATGTCCCAGACGTCGTCATCACCATCGCCAACAATGATATCGATCTCGTCATCAGGTTTGCCCTGGGTGCGAGTTGGGTGGTATGGATGCGGGTTTCTGGGCACTGTTCCTGATCTGCTGAATGACCTCAAGCTTAGTGAGACTTAGTGTTTCAGGACAATCTCCAGTCCTGAGATTGCCGTGAGCTGGACATGAGTGGATCTGGGGCCAGCTGAAGGCCCCAGGGGCTTGTCTTTGTCAGAAACTGAGGGGCCCAAAGCAGTGAAAGAGTCAGAATGGTGCTGGGCGGAGAATAAATGTCAAGTCCGGTGAGAAGGTTTAAGCAGTCAGTGGCAGAAGTGAGGGTGGAGAAAAGTAGCTTACAAAAAGCAAGGCCCAAGAGTCCAGGTGACTACATTCCACGTTTGGGTGGGTGGAAGAGACAGGAAGGCCAGCTTAGCACTCACTGTCTACTCGGGAGGTAGTGAACCCCCGCCAAAGCTAAGCCAAACCCCCATTGCCGTCATCTGCCAGGATTTCAGACCGGGGCGGGGGAATTGCTCACAAAGACCTGGATCGGGTGATGGACTACCACTTCACTACAGCTGAGGCCAGCACCCAGGACCCCCGGATCAGCCCCCTCTTCGGCCACCTGGACATGAACAGTGGCGGCCAGTCAGGACCCATGCACGGGTGAGGCCCCATTTGGCCAGAATGGAGGGGTGGGGGGGCCCAGGAGACTCAAGCCTCTGAAGCCCGTGTCCTGTCCCCCTGCCCACCCCCAGCTTTGGCTTCGGGCTGCCCACATCGCGGGCCTACGCAGAGTACCTCGGTGGTTCCCTTCGGCTGCAGTCACTGCAGGGCATTGGCACAGATGTCTACCTGCGGCTCCGTCACATCGATGGCCGGGAAGAAAGCTTCCGCATCTGACCTCACAGCCCTAGGCCGGCTGGCCTGCCCAGGCTGGGTCACACTCCCTGCCAGGACCTCCCGGGCTGGGCAGGGTACCACCCTGCTCCACACTGCTACATCTCGGGTCTTAGGGCCCCAAACAGGTGGACTTACATGGAGCCAGGCACCGGCCCTCTTCCATAGGGTCCACTGCTTCCCTGCCTCCAGGCCTTAGAGGGGAGGAAGTGGGGACCCTCGAGGTCTCCCGCACCAGCTCCGTCATTCTCGTTCCTGGGGAACCCCACTTTGACCTGCTGTTTGTTATTAAAGTTCACATTTTGAATGCCCTCTCAGGCCCCGTGTGTGAGCAGGGCAGGTGAGCCTTTGTTTCTGCCCTCTTTCAGGTCCCCTGGACCCTGGGTTTAACTAGGTCATGTCCTGGTCTCTTAACCATCCTCACTGCCTGGCAGACCAGGAACAGAATTGGCCCTGAGTCTCTTGCACAGTAAATGTAACAGGAGTGGGGATGAGTTGGGCAGTTTGTGCAAAGACCTCTCATTCATTTCATTTCCCAAATGTTTCTGCCTCCCAGACAATATGGAAGGCCCAGGTTGGCCCAGCTTCAGGCCTCAGTTCCAATTCTTCCCAGCAAGTAACAGGTTATAGAGGTGAAGGTGACCCGACTGGGCACTCTTCCGAGTCACCTGATTCCTAAACCTGAGTAAGGAAGTTAATGATACTGTCTGCCAGCTGTGCCTGCTATTGCCAAGTGAAAGAACACACAGGACTGTGCCCTGGCAGGCCCCAGAGGACAGCGGAGCCCGGGTAGCGAGGGCAGAGGGCTCCAGGGAGCAGGTGGTGGTGACCCCCCTCCACCCATCTTGCCAGGAAGGAAGAAGGCCTAAAGCCTGCTTGGTGGGACTGGTGATGGAAGTGGGGGACTGAGGGGAGACAGGAATTGTATCTGGTGGTGGGAAACCCTAGTGATTTGCCAGGCTGAAAATCTTGCTGCTGCAGTGCTGGGGGGAGGAGGAGGGGGAGGCTGGAGAGGCAGGTAGTAGTCAGGGTGAAAGACCTTGAAATTACAGCCCAAGAAGTGTGGGTTTTATCCTGGAGGTAGCAGGGATCCATGGAAGGGTTTGAAACTAGGAAGGGAGGTTGGATTCCCTAGAGTGAGTTGTTCAGTCATGTCTGACTCTTTGCAACCTCATGGACTATACAGTCCATGGAATTCTCCAGGCCAGAATACTGCAGTGGGTAGCCTTTCCCTTCTCCAGGGGATCTTTCCAACCCAGGGATCGAACCCATGTCTCCCGCATTACAGATGGATTCTTTACCAGCTGAGCCACCAGGGAAGCCCTGGATTCCGTAGAAGCACATCTTACAAATATTTGTATCCAAATGATTTGTTGAAAAAGTGCTTCCAGAAGGGAGTAGGGGAGGCAGGAAAGGGAAGGGCAGAAGGCCAGGCAAGAGAGGTAAGCGGCACAGTCATTGATGGACTCCTCTGCTGGATGATCATTTGTTTATTGTCCATATTTGATTGGGCAGGTACTTAAAACTCCCAGACTGAGAACTTCCATTTTCAGCTCTTTCAAAGCAAAACAGTTCCATTAACTTGAGAGACTTTTCACCAAACAAGCCTCTGGTGCTGGCTTCTGAAAGCACATCAAAGGTAATATGAACACAAGGAACAACAAAAAATGATTCTGTGGGATCGGTGTGAATCATCAACATAGTTCTAGGGGTGGGTGGAGAGGGAACAAGTACTACAGTGTTAATTTTAAATTTTTTTCTTGCCTGACTTATTTCTTCTGTTTTGTATGCTGCCAGATAGGGCATTTACTTCTCCCTCCAAACTCCTTTATTTCCCCAAAGCCAAGTTACCAGCTCTTCCCACTGCCATCTCTCACAGATTCTTAGATGTTTCCTAATCTGTAACCTCATCTTTAGGCCTTGAGCATTCCACTCCTCTTAGAATTGTTTCTAAGCCCAATAGCCAAATTACAAATCAGGTATGACTCAACGTGGCCAAAGGGAATGTTTATTGAGCACCTACAATGTCTGGCATTGTGCAACACGCACTTGTTTTATATACGTGAGAGATAAATATATGGTTCAATCTTTATGGTTATATGGCTTATACAGTGTGACATTTAACGACATTCTGGGAATTGACACTCCCAGTTGAGGGTCAGAACCCAGGATTCCTCACTCATTAAGCCCAAGACGCTATCCATTATGTCCAGGGCCTTTGGCTAGTTTCTGTTTAGGGAACTTGGTCATTTCTTTACAAAGGCTTGATTCTGTGCGAGTGATTTATTGGACCTGCTTCCCCAATCCAATCTCCTTTTCCCATCCTGAACAAGGAACGCAGTTTCTTCAGTCTTTAAAAACGGGAGACCAGTATTTGGCTGGTGGAAGTGCATGGGATGGGTGTTAACCCCAGGCTCATCGCCCTAAAGCCAGGCGTCCAGGGAGGCTGCTCTGGCTCCGCCCCGGTAAACTGGGGGCAGCGCCGCCCGATAACTGGCACATCTTGGCTTCCTCAGGCACCAGAAGTCTTAAAAAGATAGAACTGAGACATCACATCAGGAAAGCCTTTCTCCTCTCTTTTAACTCTAGGGTGCAGCCACAATTCCAAACGGAAAACAACTCCAGGGTAACCGGCACAATCAACGTCAATCTGGCCCGGCGACGCGGAGACAGTCACAGTAGCCAACGAGTTCCTGCCACATCATAGGCCCCGCCCTCCAGCTTGCTGCGGACTCCGCCAGCGTCGCTGACCCGGATCTAAAGGCGCTACGCGGCGCTATATTCTGGCGTCACTTCCACTACAACGATGGCGGCACAGGGAGCAGCTGCGGCGGTTGCGGCGGCGACTTCAGGGGTCGCGGGGGAGGGCGAGCCCGGACCCGGGGAGAATGCGGCGGTCGAGGGGACCGCTCCGTCCCCAGGCCGCATCTCTCCGCCGACCCCGGCGCGCGGCGAGCCGGAAGTCACCGTGGAGATCGGAGAAACCTACCTGTGCCGGCGGCCGGATAGCACCTGGCGTGAGGGCGGGGGCCCAAGGCCACGGGGCGGGGCCTAAGGGAGGGGCGGGGCCTAGAGGGGGGTAGAACTCGGTCTTTTGGACTTGCCTGGACGCCGCCTACAATCCCCACCGGCTGGGCTTTAGCGAAATTCTTCATTCTGTGTTTTAGAGCTCCCGTTCCACTTCCTTGCCCAGTTTTAGGCTTTATTCCCTTTTTTTGTTAACCTGCTTCCTCACTGGTCTCCCTTGTATCTGTGACTTCCTCTTCTATCCATCCCCTACAGCCGCCAGCGGAGAGGACCTCCCGGAACACAAAGACGAGCTTCCCCTCCCTTCTATATTTTTTGCGTCATTTCCAGAATAAGCCCCAAATACCTTAGAATGGCCTTCGTCTTTGTCACCTTTCTGTTTTTTTAGCACCCCTAGCAAAGGCCATTGACGGACCAGACCACGCTCTTAAGACCATATGCCTTTTACCGCTGGCTAGTCCCACTCATCCTTTTAGCATCATATCCCCTGTGATGCCATTCTTGACTCCCTTCAGGCTGAGTGAGTCGTTCCCTTCTGTATATTCCTGCAACATTTTCTTCATACCTGAGCTACGGTATATGTACTGTTGTGTTGTCATTGTCTGTCTTGTATCAAAGTGTGAACTTCTGGAGGGCAGGACCGCTAATGATTCATCAGTGTATCTTCTGTACCCAGCAGCAACCCAGCTCAGGGCCAGACTTGCAGTGGTTGCCTTACTCATTTGTTGAATGGTCTGCCATTTGGTGCTGTACTGAAAGCTTATCACCATTTGAGGGAGGCGCTGTTATCCTTATTTACAGATGAAAGCGCTGAGGCTCAGAAAGCCAAAATAACTTGTTCAGTTAAACATAGCTAGGAAGTGAGGCTGTGTGAGTCCACAACTAGCTCTCATGGCTTCTGAACAAATGAACGACTGAGTATAGTAATACAGACCTTGAGTTTGGAGCCAGACTTGAATTAAATATTAAATATTAATTGCTTAAATATTAGTGCTTATTACTTTTCAAATAGGTGAACATAGGTAAGCCTCAGTTTCCTTGTCTCTAGTATAAGAATAAGAACCCCAATCTGGCCCACCTCAGGACAGTGATTGAAGGGAGTGGCAGAGGTGAACAGATGAGGTTAGCTTCGGAATCTGGCCTCAGAATCTGGCAAACTTCTCCTCAGTGTCACTCATTCCAGCCCCGTTTTCTTTCTCGGTGATCCTAGCCTTTTCCCTTCACAGATTCTGCTGAAGTGATCCAGTCTCGAGTGAATGATCAAGAGGGCCGAGAGGAATTCTATGTACACTACGTGGGCTGTGAGTGACTTAGGGTATTTAGGTGCGGGGGTGGGGGAGAACGCGAAGGGGCAGCACCCTCATGACCCATCCTCACAGTTAACCGGAGATTGGATGAATGGGTCGACAAGAACCGACTGGCGCTGACCAAAACAGTGAAAGATGCTGTGCAGAAGAACTCAGAGAAGTACCTGAGCGAGCTGGCCGAGCAGCCGGAGCGCAAGATCACTCGCAACCAAAAACGCAAGCATGATGAGATCAACCACGTGCAGAAGGTCCGGATCCCTTCCCTTCCCCAGTGCCCTCCCCTTCCCCGGGTCCGTCCCCTTCCCTTGAACCCTCCCCTTCTCCTGGGCTCCTGGAGGCTCAGCTCTTCTCTGGACTTCCTTGGGTCCTGGTGCCACACCCACAGCAGATCCCATTGCTTAAGCTCTTGCAGTATATGGGGGACTATCTACCTCCTCCCAGGTATTCTTCACAGATGAGAAAACTGAGGCTCAGTGAGGGTGAGAGCTTGGCCGTAGCCTTGTGGCAAAGAACTGACACAACTGGGACCGGAACTCAGGCCTCTTGCCGCTTTTATGCCCCTCTTGGCTGTGCCACATTGACAAATGGACCTGAAAGTTCCAAGGGAAGGAAGAGAATGAGTGATTTGGGGGTACTTGCAATCGCCAACCCTTGTGCTGAGTGCTGTGC